TATTTTCGAGGGTTGATTTGGTCTGATTCGCGACATGTCAGTCTGTAACGTTACAATTGTTTTTGTCCAATCATTGAAGGGCACTGGGTTTAGTGTTTTTTAATTTTACATTTTGTCGCTCCATATATAAGGACATGCATACCCGGGTGAGTTTCTCCCCGGTTCTCTGTATTGTAGGATAAACGCCGAGGTTGGACGAATTTGTATGGATGAAAAATGCGAAAGGTCCGACCAATGGATGGCTTCCAAAACCGACTCAAATAATTTTAAGTTATCCGGAATTAGTATTCAATTCGATCGACTTTCTTTGCCGAGACTCAAATATCGTCTCAGCAAAGAAGTACGCCTGGGTTTCAAATCTCCCAATTGTGTTGATTTCAGAGTATATAAGGGTTCGTCTGGTAACATTTTAAAAATAATATTCCATTTTCTCGCAAAATGGGATTAACCAAAATGTCATTTTCAAAATGGAGGTAAAAGGTCAATTTGGAAATGTAGCGTTTTGGACCTCTTGAACGAGTAAATCCCACGTGGAATTATTGGATTTGGGTTAAACCTCTGCAAGCAAGACATCTTTCAATTTTGATCAGATTTGTTGAATTCGGCCCTATGTTGAATTCGGCCCTAAAATGGCGCTTTGGGCCTGAATATTGCAATATTTCCGGTTACCTGACGAACCCTAATTTAATTCATATTGTTCTATTTCCACGATGAAGTGGCGGGCTCTCATGCTGCTTGCCTACCACGATAACGACTCCGATTGCGACGAACATGACATACTCATGCTGTACAGAGCTCGTGCTGCACTGAAAGATAGGCATTACTTAACCTCTCTATCACTACCTGGCAGCACACCGAGCTCATGGACAGCTATGTATGCAACAGGTGATCGCAGCACCTTCATTGCTGCAATGTCTTTGGACCCCGACGCGTTCGACGAAATGCTTGTGGAGTCCTCTATGCACTATGAGGTTGGCCATGCCAAAGGACGAGGCGGACGACCGCCCAAGTGCATCCAAACAGAACCTTGACCAAAGCCGAGCGCGCGCTTGCAGTGGCGTTGAAGTCCGTTCTTGTGTGCTTCATCCGGTATCCTTCCAAACCACACCAGCGCGGATGGGCAGTCATGGTGAACCGTGATGAACCGTTGGTACGCGGGGTCTGGGGTTTTTTAGACGGCAAGAACTACCGCGTCAAGGCACCTACAGCTCCCGATTTGCAAAACGCGTACTACAATGGGTGGCTACATTGTACATTTGTGACAGGGACGTTACTCTTCGGTGCAGATAGCACCATTGTGTGGGGCCGACACAAGTTTGTTGGGAGTTGGAACGATGTGGACACGAGCTCACCGTTGCGGGCGAAATTGTTGGACGAAATGTTGACGTTGCGCGGACATGGAGTCGTGTCGGACTCGGCGTTTCCTGTGTCTAGGTCAATGCTCGGGAAGATCCGAACCCCCCTCAAGGACGGTGACCTGGACTGTGCGTCGCCAGAGTGCCGTGCTGGATTATCTCATATGAGCGCCACCCTTACATCAGTGCAACAGGCGGCTGAATGGGGAATGGGTACCACGGAAAAGGTCTACCGCCAGTTACTACTCCCACTACCGTGTGACCCGTCTAACGAGGTTTGCGACTTCAAAATATTTTCATGATGCAGAATTTTAGAGTCCGTTGTACAGGCATTAGTCAGATTAGATCAGTTATGCACCAAGAATAATGATCGCAACGATATTGTAAACAAAAATTGCCTTTTGTAATAATTTTGCCACTTATCAATAAATTTGGCTGCAACAGCTAAGATTGCTTGATCAATTTTGTCTCTACGCTTCTGCGCCAAAAGCTGTTGTTCACGAAATTCCTCATCTCGTTTCGCCATTTGTACAGTGTACAAACAATTCCAACCATGGATTGTTTTCAGAGCGGCGACGCTTGGCTTCCTGATTTTCGGCAATAGCAGCAAGTATATCGTCAATCTTGTGCCGACGTTGCGCTTTGTGGCTGAGGATAGGTTCCGAACCAGACGCCTTGCCCAATACAGCCAGTTCCGCTGCCGTCAAACCAGTGCGCTGCGTCGCTACTACACTTGTGGTAGTAGAGCTCTCTTTGGTCTCTACGTCGGATTCGGCTTCGTCCATGGCTTCGCCTTCGTCCATGATACCAAGCTCGTCCGGACACTCGAGGTCTCGTACTCCCATAAACGGCTCAATCGCTCGTTGAATTCGCTTGGCTCGGGATACCGCCGGAGGGTACAGAGGGTCGCCTGTAGGTTTGCGAGCGCTGCGCAATGTCTTGAACTTCCGGCGAATGCTGTCGACATCTCGGGGTGGTGCACCTTGGTCGGCTGGTTGAATGCGCATGTATGACTCTTGCACTGCATCCCACTGGGCAGGACCCATGGGAAGTTGATCTTCGATTACGTCCAACATTGACTGGACTTCGGGCTCCGTCCACCCTCGGCCCCTCGATACTTTCTTCTGGCTGGACAGTGTCATGATGGGAAGTGTTCATGTATGTGTTGATTGATTTGCATCTATATTGTTAGCTTATTCTAGCCAATAGATAGATTCTATGAATGGATGGCTTGTATATTTTAGTCGGTTTTGAAAGGAGCATGATGGTTGCTGCCTCATATTATTCGCTATCGCGGATAATGTCAGTACCACTTTGGTCTCAAATTGGATTTGTGCCGGTTTTCCAAAACCGGCATATATGTCATTGTTTGTATGACTTATTTTAGCCAATCATAAATCATTAATTTTGAACTAGCCAATTATACGTATTCATCATATAATTTCTGTCCAATAGTATCGGTTTGTGATACACCATCTTCAACTGGAAATCACATATGCGTTAGTGGTCGGACCTTTCAAAAGTTATGCTATGTGTGCATACAAAAATGAAGGTCAACGCATGATTTTTATATGTAAGTGGTATCCGACATCAAACCGACAAATTTGAAGTCGGTGATTGGATAACCGACAAATGATTGAACTTTGAATGGTCAGTTGTTTTTTAGACAATCCGATTGGGCGATGTGGCTGTCGTGTGAGCAACATATCACTCACATTGGCTTGCTATAGGCTGAAAACACAGCCATATCAACATACTCCGGAACAATCACCAAGACTTTGACACAGCATCTCGAAAACAACCATGACCTCGACTCAGCATCCCAAGAACAGAAATAAGTAGAGCAGAGCTGGACAAACAAGGTGACGAGTTTTGACTAGTACGAGTATAGAGAAGTGACTAGTACGAGTATAGAGAAGTACCTGCTGTGCTTTGTACATGGATTCGAATGATGTACATCCATAAACAACATCATTAGACACTGTCGAATGATGACTAATAGACAGGCCGTACGATCGTCGACCGACCCACATGGCATCTTCATCTCTGTGAATCCCTAGGAACGCAGTGTTGCCAGGGCCAAGGGGCTGGGGCACGAAGGAGTTTTTGTTCTGGTGGTTGCGTTAACAAACCTCATTAGTAACAACTTCACTGACACCAAGTCGTACAATCCGAGTTATGATGGACAGTACATATGACATACTTATCGATCTTGCCAGTGAAACTATACATCACTCGGCGCTATTCATCGCTGAGCCGACACCACTGAAGCTGGCCAACCTGTTGTCCCCGACACCGTGATCACGTTGATACTGTGCAGTCACCAGGCGAAATGGCCGTGCCACAGTTGGGACTGTTGCCGATGGTAAACTCACGAATGATCAGTACACTGTAGCACGCTGACCGTGGTGTCACCACTAAAGCGAGGGGTCGCGAAATTGGTGAAGCGACCCAAGAGGACGTCGACCACGCCACGCTCTTTTTGCCAACGTACCGCGTATTTTCATTATGGTATCTTTAACTATACCCTTTCTAGATTGCGCATTGGATATTCAAGCCATCGCAACATCCCTGGAGGTGACAGGATTTCTGTCCCCATGCCTCCATGGGACACAGCAGTACTGTGGTCAGGCCGCAAACGCAACTTTAGGGTTTAATTCCATGTTGCAGCCTCTGCACGCATTACACGTGGCACCCGGAGCCATGTCGTGTGCCACGTCTATTGCGTACAGAGGAAGCTCCTCTGGAGGTGACAGGACTTCTGTCTCCATGCCTCAATTGGACACAGCAAGAATTGTGGTCAGGCCGCAAAAGCAACTTTAGGATGCGAATCTATGTTGCAGCCTCTGCACGCAATACACGTTGTTAGCCATAGGCAGACAATGATTGAAGTTACATAGTTAAAGCTATATATATGTGATTGAAGCTGGAAGAGCTCCAGGCTTCACATCCCTCGACTACTTCAGTGTGTCGAGGGCCAATAGCTACCTTGTTTTGATCCTACACACACTACTTGACCACTACCCCTACATATGTATGTGTTGTGTGCCAACGTCTGTTACACGTGGAGAGGCTGCTCCTCACGGTTCATGTCATCACCTCGTCAGAGACTTGTATTAACTGTAAAACCAACATACTACATTTGGTCTTTGTATTGAAAATGAAGAGTCATCTACCAATGAAAGGCACGAAGTATTGAACTTTTAACCAATAAGACTAATGTCTGGTAGAATTATCGTATTCGGCAAGTTTCCATACTGTACATAGTCAGGCAACCTCCGACTGAGCCCAAAATTTGTCAATAATATAGCAACCCCGATTCACACCAAGTATGGACCGCCTGTAACCACGGTCAACAGTGAATACCAGAGCTTCAGGTATCAAGTCCTTCCTCAAGTTCCTCGAGTCCGAGAGCGTGGAAGAGAACCATGCGAAGGATTGCATCCGAAAGGATACAACAGGCCAATGTTTTGCCTCGGTCATGGAGAAGTTTGCTATGTACCTTGCTGCATGTGAAAAGTCACACCTTGCTGCATGTGAAAAGTCACACCTTCCTGCATGTGAAAAGTCACACCTTGCTGCATGTGAAAAGTCACCCGGAGTGCCGCTATCAAAGAATCATGCATCCAATACTTCCGACAAGCGAAGATGAGCCTACTCGACGAGTTCCCCCACCTACAGACTGTAGTCGACTCCAAGCTACTCCGAGTGCGCAAGATACTACAAAACGTTTGCGCCAAGAAAGGCGGCGGGGTGGTAGTGAACCAGGCAGCTGCGTGCATCAAGGATTACATCAATCAAATGCTTATGTATATCTATAAGAGCGCGACCTCATGCAGCGACTATCAAGACGCATCCCTGTTAGCCTTGTTGTGGTATCTGCTTGGATGGGCATCCGACTTGGCAATAGTGCGAAAGAACAACGTGTCCATTGATGCTGGCGGTGTGTTTTTCCTACGCTTCGTACGAGTTAAGATGAGCGAGGAACAGGGACTGTCCATATTCCCGGATAATGACTTCCTTAAGTGTCTGTTGCTGGCGAAGGCGTTGGCAACCATTTGTCAAGGCGGGCCATATGCAAACGACATCGACAAATTATTAACTCAGTCTTCATCCTCAGCTTCGAGCCTTAGCCCAACAACTGCATTGATCGAGGTACTACGTAATCATGGCGTTATTGAGTTCGACAAGGAAGAGTCAACGACCAAGAGCACACCTACTATTCACAGCCACGTCAATCGAATTCTTGGACGTATCGGTGAACCCTTCGGTGTTGAGCAGAAGCTGTCGTCACATTTCTTTCGTCTCGGGGGGGCACAGCGTGCCAATGGCTCGGAGCACTTGACGGCAAGGTGGATCTTCGATCGTCGGGCGTGGAATATTTCGGCCACCAACAAGGGCTTCAACTACATATTCAACACGCCAAGCGAAGATCAAAAGGTCGCCAAGCACCTGAGCGGTTGGACGACATCCGAAGCTGTCCCTCTTATTTTCCTGGATATTTTCGACGCCCAAAGTCGGGATCGTATTCGTGACATCCAAACCCACCTTTTCGCGGCGTGTTATGGCCTCGATGGACCTACACTCAACCTCAACCGACGTGTGGTGGACACACTCACGGCCTACCTGTTTCGCCACTACCTCCGTTTGAAGGAGCTCAATGCGCATGGGCCTGCTGTACTTCGCCTGGAAGCGTGCACGCGGCTTGCGGGTTGCTGCGAAATAGACCTGCTGGCGTGGTCATCGCACTTGACGACAGCACCAACGAACCAACAATCGCCCGAGAGGCTGCAACAACACCCAACATCAACGTCTGAGACCGCCGAACAAGGCCTCATTCGTCACCAGGCAGCCCTCATCGAAAGCTTTATTGAGGTGGGGTGGCGCCAAGAAGAACGGCTCCAAGCTCTGGATGCAAAGTTGGAAGGTCGCGGCGACTACAAGAAACGAGAATCCGTGAGCCTCAAAACCACTGACACGATCCCCGCTACGAAGAAACACCGTCAAAGCTCTTTGAAGTCGCTACGAATAACGTGGTTCGAATGGTATGGGCTTGAACCTCGTCTACATGCTACTAGCAACGCACCAAAACAGAAGAAATATGTTGCTCGACATCTGGTCGCGTACATGAAGTTTTTCTTACGGAATGGATTTATCTTGGATGAAGCGTGTCC